GAACCTTAGTCCGAATGATCCTGCAGGAGAGAGAGAGAGAGAGAGAGAGAGAGAGAGAGAGGGGAGATTAGCTTTAAGGTGTGTGTGTGAGTGTGTGTGTGTATATTCTAAGTGACAGTGAGAACATGACCATCGTGGGAGCGCAAAACTGTTTGTGTGTGTGTGTGTGTGTGTGTGTGTGAAGTGGCTCAGGCTGGCTGACATGGCACAGGGGCCTTACACTTCCTGCTTGGCTGCTCATGCAAGTCTTTTTTTCCCCTCTTTCCTTCTCTTTTTTTTCCCTTCCTCCCCCTTTTCCTCTTCTCATCCTTCCCTCACTTCCTTTCCCTTTCTTCTCCTTCTCTTTTTTTCCATTCTCCCACACACCGACCTCCTCTTTTGTCTGCCTCCTCTGCTCACTCCTTCTCTCTCTTATTTCTCCGTCCCTTCCTCTCTGTCTCTATGCTCAGGGGAGAAGGTTGTCATTGTACCATCGTGTTGAACCACTGAGCTGCAGCCGCTTCATACATATGAAGACCGGGGCCTCTTTACTATTCACACACACACACATGCACACACACACACAGTTATGTTCTCCGTCCTCTTTACCTAAACTCGGCACCTGTTGCTGTACATTCATAAACCAACCGTCTGAGGTACCTGTTAATGGAGCTGACGCTGGGGACGCTGTCGTTGTCACACACTCTCTCGGCCAGGAGTCTGTCCCGTATCTCCCAGGCAAACATGGTGGGGTTTTGGCGTTTGTAATCGGCGATCTTGTCGACCACTTTGGGTGTAGCAACCTTTGGTTTGGATCCCCCGATGACCCCAGGGCGGATACTGCCCGTTTCATAGTACCTGCCAACGATTTAGGAGAAAAAAAATGCAAGGGTTGGTCAATAGGAGGAGCAGCAGCAAAGTGATTCTGGAATTCTTTTAGGTTTTGATCTTTAATCAGTTGGTAGACAGCACAAAAGTAGTTTATTTGTGTAGTTTTTCAATAAAAAATAATGATCAAGTACTCACTACTGGTTTTAGTTTGCTGGTGTTTCTTCAGACTGACATCAAAGTTACTTTAAGTGTAGTACACCGTGACACAGTACTGTATTTGACCAGACTGTGTATTGTTTACCTGCTGTAGTTACTGGTCTTTCATTGGTTTACCAGCAGGGTCAGACCATGTGACCACGGGTTTATACTGAATCTTCATCATCTTAAATCTGTACAGCAGTGTCTCAGTAAGAAACTATAACTCATGTTGTATAAAACCTTTACTGAACATTTGACAACCCTAAAAGATCTTAGGAGTTAAAACAGCAACTGAAACACCGAAACACCTTCACAGTCAACAATAAATTTGTTTTCTGTCCATGGCAGGAATGGGACGACTCGAATTAATAACTTTGAATTATTAATTTTGTTTCTGTGGAGGCTCTGACAGACTCATGAAACTGTAATTATTGGCTGTCTTTCTAAACTGTCAGTGTGTGAAGAGTGTGGCATGGACACACAGACACACACAGACACACACACACAGATGAAAACACTTGCAGTCAGATTCAAGCGTTTGGTGTCCACCATAGCTATTTCATGAATGTATTTGCATGCAGAAGGGGCATGGGGGCAGGGGTTGGGAGGACAGCAAATGTGCTGCTCAGCCTGTAGAAACTGTGTGTGTATGCAAACTCTCAGTCAGTCTTAAACCTTCTGCTCTCTCTCTCTCTCTCTCTCTCTCTCTCTCTCTCTCTCTCTCTCAGATTAATCACTCCATGAAAACGTGTGTATTTCCTCATCTCTCAGATTAATCACTCCATGAAAACCGTATGTATTTCCTATTTTTAAGTGCAGTTCTAATAATGTGCTGCACATTCTGAGTATGTACAGGTGAAGGCAGAAACAATCCATTTCCAAACATAAAAATGTTTAAATTATTCACAGATGAATCATCGTTGAATAAATCGCTCTGGTTATTGATATTTGACACACACACACACACAAACACACACACACCAGAGTAGTTGGGTTGGTGTTTTTGTTCTGCTGGCACCAGAGAGACAGAGAGGAGAGGATAAAACAACCCTCCCTCCTTCCTTCCTCCCATCCCTGGATCCCCTCTCCTCCCCCTCACAGTAACGCTTCAGTGAGTTGAACACCCAGGACAGGAGAGAGAGGGAAGATGGAAAGAGAGAGGAAGAGAAGCCCAGAAGAACAATGACCTACACATATTTTGATATAGCTGAGGGTCGCTGTAGCTAATCCTTCCTCTCCGTCCCCACAAATCGTCTCTCTTATTCATGTTTTTTTTCCTACACCCTTCTCTTTTTAACACGTCTTTTCCCCCTTTGATTGTGTTCTTGTTCTTGTCTCTCCCCTTTTCTCCATCTCCCTGTCTTTTTTAAGGGGGCAGGTTTGCAGAAATATGGTGCCACTTTCATTTTGATGCTAATTCCAAAAAGTGATGAATCTTTTCCCTTTTGTCCCCCTTTCTTCTGCCCGGGACAGAATGAGCGGGGATTTGCTCTTGAATTTAGCTTTGAAAAGGCAGAGTGAAAGACAGACAGATAGAAAAAAGAGAAAGGAGGCGAGAGGAGACAAAAATATTAAGAGGGTTTGCAAGAGACGTTACACAGAGAAAGGTTGAAGGCATGAAAGAGGGAGCAAAGAACAGGGTGAGACAAATGCAATGTAAGGTAATAAGGGGCAGGTCGCAGGTGGATGTGAGGGCAGAATGGACTGGAAATGGACCTCGTTCATGTAGAGGAAATTGACTCAATGGCAGAAACAACTGAGGCTTGAGACTAATTCTAACAAAGAATGACTGGACAAATGGGCAGATGTCAGGGTCAGAAATATGGAACTGGTTTCTGAAGTTTGTTAGTGTCTGTGTATTAGCAGTTACCAGTTAGCATGTTGGTTAACAACATATATTGAAAGACATTTATACATCTCTTATATTAAGTAGTTAGCACCAATAGTTATTTGCTGGTAACACATGCTAGTAAGTTACAATTGACATTTTTTATCCTTTAATATAATGTAAAACACACTGAATGTGTTCCCTCAAAAAGCGTAAATCCCTTGTTAACTGTCCTACGTCACGATAGAAGGTTACACTTCCGTGTCTTTCTCCACATCTGTGCTGTGTCCCACTCAGCAGGACACTGCAGTGAATACTGAACTGTGGCTGTCACCATGTGATCGTCAGGCCAGTGGTTACCTGCCCAGTATCTTGCTGACACATCCATGGCTGACTCGTAGTTGGCGCGAGATGTCGCAGGGCCGAACCCCTTGGTGGGCTAGCTCCACTATTCGCTGTCGTACCACATCTGGGAGTGGCCTGCCGTTTACAAACACGCCTCCGAGCTGGTTTACGCCACCATGTCCTGAAGGAACAACACATTATTGCCTGTCAGATTAAACATTTGGGATTAAAAGGAAAGCAGATGTACACAGCATGTCGGACCATGTCAGGTGACATTAGATACTGTATCTGCTAAAAATAATAATAAACATTTAAAGGACTTTAAGGGCACCAAATTAAAACCTTTCCTTTCCATTAGGTTTGTTGTGATTAATTCATATAAATCTGTCCATCTTTGATAATCATGTAGTTGATTTATTTTCTAATGCAAACACTTCGACCTTGATCACTGCAGACAGACAGAAATGTTGACACTGTTGGTTAAGTGGTGGCAGTGAGAGTCTGCTGGACAACAGTGGAAGTGACCCTGGCTACGACGACACATTACAACATGCATTTGGAAATAAAAGAGAAGTTTATCAAGACTATCAGGACCAACATGTATCACTCAGTCAGAAAGACTATTTACTGTATGTTTGACTGAGGGCACAGTATAAATCAACCAGAATTTCTCCACTGATAATCCACTGGTTTTTGTATTACCATTGTGATTGCGTCTTAAGGGAAGGAAACCCAGAAACACACACACACACACACCTGCGCACACAAGCACACACCATAACACATGCACACACTAATCCTAGCTGTGGGAGTAATAGATTTTAAACACATTACCCCAGCAGGGATACCCCCCTAAAACATAAAGCTGCCCCCTGAACCTGTTTGTGTGTACCTAAAGTAACACACACACACACACAAACACACACCCTACAAATCAAACCTAATGTATTCAGTGTGTCTTCAGCTTCTCATGACCATTTTTATATTCAGCTTAAAAAAAATGAGATGAGAAAAAAAACGATGGATGTCTGTTAAAAACAGGACCATCTGAAAAGCCAATCCAAAACATCGAGTTAATGCAAAGACTAAGTCTTGACTCAGTCCCAAAGACCAAATGGGTAAAAGTAGGAAATATTGAAGTCATGAAAACACACTTGTAAAATATAATGACTTAATTCTCAATATACTCCTTGAGCCAATAATCATCACAGCCAATAAATCCAACTTTTGGACAAAAGAAGAAATCTTAAGTCCTTTGGTGTGACTTAGTTAATAAAGCACTCCTTTTATGAGGAGAAATGTTCAAATATTATATTAATATTATAAATATCCCAGTGTCTGTCCTCATGCCAGGGATCAGCGGTTCGATCCAACATGATTTAAAGTATTATATGAATATTTTTTGAAATGACAAGTAACTATTATAGCTATACAGTATTTACTAAATGATAAGTTGACACCATTAAAGGAAACGTGTTGTACTTTTGACTAACTCCCCAACCAATTAAAATACTATTTTATCTCACCCTGGAACCAAATACAGAGTCTGTGAATTCACTGAAGAAGGAAGGAAGGAATGATGAAAGAAAAGACAGAAAGATAGAAGAAAGAGAAAGAAAGTAGAAAAGAAAGACAGAAGACAAAACTCTCACTCAGACACTCAGACACACATTTTTCTCATATTCCTCAAAGCCAGGATGAGCGTCCTGACCTACATGGTTGAATGTGAGTCTTTCACACATGCATTCGCCCTCTGTGAATGTTGTGCATTCTGGGAAAAAAAGGCATTATTCCTCCATGCTTTCTCTTTATTATTTTTCTGAAACCTTTCCTGTCTGATTTGCTGAATAAAGGCACACTTTTCACAGGCTACTTCATAAAAGCTTGGCGTGCTCTGTCCTCCCCC